CACGGTTCGAATCCACCAGATGCTCTGCCGGGGAAGGAGGGACAATCTCCTCCTGTACCAGTCAGATCTGATTTGACGGTACACTTACATAAAAATAAAAAAAATAATAAAAAGAATGCAAATGCTTCCTGGAGGCAAGGACAGACTTCGTCTCACATACTTTAGACAAGTTCTCTGAAGTGGTAGGTCTTAGAGAAAGACATGCTCAGAAAAGCAGGGAGTCTGAGAAGGAAGCCCCTAAATGAGATAGGACTAACATACTAACTACAATAATGGACTTGTGCTTGGCAAAAATCATGAAGACGGCACAGGATGGGGCAAGGCTGATTTGTTCTTCACAGTGTCTCATCGAGTCAACTACAGTCAGATAGCACAGAACAACTACTTAGGAATGTTTTCTGTTTCACAGAATCACATCATTAACGGCAGGGATAAGAGGATCCACTACCTCTTCTCAACTTAAGGAGGCAGAAGAGCAACAGCAGAACAGCAGTTCTTTCTAAGACTGTCTTTCTGCTTTCTACCTTGGATGACTCCAATAGCATTTTCTTATATTAAGTATTCACAGTACACAAGTTCAAATGGCAAAGGGCAGTACTGGATTACCTTCCTGAGAATCACAATGCTGAATCAGTAATTCTCAATTCTCTAGCCATGGATAGATTTCAAGGGATGCACAAATTCTACAGAAACTGATATATGTGCGCAGTGGCAATATTCAGGGCCCACAGCATTCATCAAAAAATGCTTGAAGAATCCAACCCTCATTTTGTAAAAAGCACAAGATTAGCCCCAAAATTCCTGAACTAAGGAACATTTTCCGTAACTTAGGGATGTCTCCTTAATGTAAACTTCGTAGCTACAAAAGTAATGTGTACCACATATACTGCATGTCCACACATCAGTCATCCATAACAAAAAGATGTCACCGAAATATGCATATTCAAACTATTTACATGTGGTATTAAAATATACCATGTAAGTTTTTCTGGGCACAGATGTGCTACAGTTTGGTTCAGACATATTTTTAAGCTTTGGCGCAAACAGGAATCTGATAGTGGCTGCTGGTCCCTAACAAAGGTTCTCAAGGATAGAATACCAATCTGCATATAAACAAGTTTAAAAGTCCTGCCTACAAAGAGGACACTCTAAAAAAAAAAAAAAAAGACTTAAAAATAAAACCCCACAGAACAAAGTGGATAATCTATAGAAAGACTAAAGAAAACTCTACCCACAGATTAATGCAGATGACACTACATGACTACCATACAATTCTTCAGTTCATTCAATATATAAAAATAGATTTTGTTGTTGATTGCCTTCAAGTAAAGCATGACCCATAGCAACCTTATGAACAAAAGGCCTGAAGCCCCTCGACAACTATCAACAGCCCCTCTACAACTATCCACATTTATCAAAGTTCATGGAGTTTCCGAAGGCATGTTATTTAGGAAGTGGATACCACTCCTGCTTCCAAAGATTTTGTTATGTGTCATCGAGTCATTTGAGACTCATAGCGACCCTATGTACAAGAGCCCTAAACACTTTCTATCCTGTGCCAACCTGTCTCAAACACATTCATTCCCACTACTCCACCCACAGAATCGTTCCATCTCATCAAGGGTCTTCCTCTCCTGCGCCCTCCCTCTCCAAGGACCAGTCCCTCCTTATAACATGCCCAAAGTATGCCAGACGAAGCTTCAGAATCCTTGACTACAGGGAACATTCTGGCTTCACCCTCTCCAGGACAAATCTGTTTGTTCTCCTAGCAGTCCATGGTACTCTCAATACTCTTCTCCAGCACCACAACTCAAAGGCATCAATTCTCTTTCTATCATCCCTGCACATAATTTCAAAGACTATAACCTGGATCAGGTGCACCTTAGTCTCCAGCCTGACGTCGCTTCCAAGGACAGATATATAAATATTCCATATATGTTGTTGTTAGATGTCAGATGCCATTGAGTCACTCATAGTAAGCTTATGAACAATGGATCTGAAACCTTCGCCTAACCTAGGCTATCCTCATCATCTCCGATATACTTGAGCGCATTATACATTTTCCATCCACCTTGTGGAAGGTATTCAATATACAGATCATTTATATTTGCCATACTCTATGCTTAGATAAGCATAGGAGAATTAATGCTTTTGAGGTATGGTGTTGGAGAAGAGTGCTGAGGGTACCATGGAATGCTAGGAAAACAAACAGATTCATCCTAGAGAGGGTTAAACCGGGCTGCTCCTTGGAGGCAAGGATTCTGAGGCTCCGTCTGACATACTTTGTACATGTTGTAAGGAGGGACCGGTCCCTGGAGGGGGACATCATCCTTGGGAGGGTGGAGGGACAGCCCAGGAGGGGAAGGCCCTCTGGGAGATGGATTGATTCGGTGACTGGGGCAATCGGGATGAGTGTGTCGGAGACAGTGCGACTGGCACAGGACAGAGCAGAGTTTAGAGCTGTTGTATATGGGGTCGCTATGGGTCACGTGCGACTCTATGGCACATCACAACAACTAAGCTTAGATAATCCTCAAAATCAGTGTCTCAATTCACTCCCTTTCCTATTTTACACTCACCTTCTCAATAATGCTGTTAACAATAAGAGGATTTTTCAAAATGTGCTGCCCAATTCCCGTGTTGAACATAAGTCCTAAAGGGGAAAAAAGTAAAAACAGCTTTCATGTCTAAATAGACCATCCCAGGTGTGAAAGCAGGATATGATTATCAAGAAAGAGGGAGACTTCTGTGCAAGCCAGTCACCAAACATCAGGCTTGGAGCAAGGACTGGATGTTTTAAGTCCATCACTTGTGCTGGGAAGGAATTCTGGTGGCGCAGTGTTTTGTCTTGCGATGCTAACAGTAAAGCCCGTGCTTGGAATGCATCAGGTGGTACGCAAGATAAAAATGAGCAGTCTCTTCCCAACAAGATGTACAGCCTCGAAAACCGAGGGTCGGGCGCCACGCGTTAGAATCAACTCCACAGCTGTAGGCCTGGCGCTAGAATCAACTCCACAGCTGTAGGCCTGGCTTTGGCCTTCCGCAGGGAAAGGTGTGAGACTTGCATTCAGAAGTCCCCGCAGGAGAACCTCACCTACCCCGACCCCTCCCGAAAGCCCGCACCTCCGGCGCTCTTCAGCTCCCGGCGCTGTTCCTGCCGCTCGCGGCGCCGGTCCGCTGCCTTGGACTTGACTTTCGGCATTTCTGCAGGGCGAGGGGGCCCAGAAGTTCACAAGCACGAAACCCCTCAAGCCGAGCCACTGCACCTCATGGTACGCGCCTCACGGCGCAGCCACGTTCCGTCACCCACAGTAGAGCCAAGTGCCAGCCGCAAAGTTCACGCTGGCTCCGCCCCCAGGAAAAAGGGGCGGCCTTACATCCCAATGGCTGCCGGGAATTGTAGTAAGGAGTCAGAGGAAGTCGCTGCCTACTGATTCCGGCAGGAGCGGGGCTTCTCGGCCCCAGCACCGGAATATCCAATCCTGTACAAAGTGATAGAGTTCTGTGCGTTAGTCCCGGGACTTTTTTATCAAGCTAGGCTCTGTGGTCATCAGAATTTTTTATTTTAGTTACATACTTCACTCCTCCATATGTTGTTGTTGTTGTTATGTGCCGTCGAGTCGCCTGCGACTCATAGCGACCCTAAACTCCGCTCTGTCCTGTGCCAATCGCACTGTCTCTGACACTCCCATCCCAATTTTCCCAGTCACTGAATCAATCCACCTCATAGAGG